TATTTCTATTTATTTGTTTATTTGCTCACTCTCCCTCCCTCCAGATTCCAGATCCACGAAGGCAGAGACTTTGTCTTTTCCCATTTGCGTTTCCAGGCCCGGGAGTAGTGCCTGGCACATAGGGGGCACACTTCACTTATCTATTGAATACATGCGCAAATAGCCCCACGAGCAGGCCCTCAGTCAGCACCTGCCCCACTGTACAGAGTGGGCTGTGTCTGTACGGCTGGCCTGTTACTCATCACTGCCTCCAGATCCAGCTTGCCACCTGCCGTGGATCAACGTGTAGTCAGTTTGTAAATGGATGGAGAGAGGCCTTTGAGGTGGGACTCAAAAGCCACAGGTTCTCATCAGCCCTCTTCTTCCTTGCCCTCTCCAGTCTTTAGATGCCGTCTCCAAATGTAGGTGCTTCTGCGTCCCAGACGGCAAGGCTTGCTGTGCTCCGGCATCATGTCCGTGGGGTTGGGTTGCTGTGAGACGTCTTTGGCTTCTCAACCCTGATGCTATTAAACTGGTTCAAACCAGTTTGGTTCTAGTTTCCATGAGCCGTTGAAGCCCTGGGGAGCCTATCACAGTAGAATTTGCAGATGCAGAGCAAGATTTGAAGGATTAAGTGACTTGTCCTACAACTGACAAGAGGCAGAGGCAGCTAACTAGAGTCTCAGCTCTTAACTGGGGTTCTGTAGTTGCCTCACGTGGGATCGCTGGGACTCCTCTGAGACGTACCAAGGGTAGTTGTGAGGGTTTGTTCTATGAATCAAGGGCAGCAATTACATTTCTGTATAATCTACATATAATCTACATTTCTGTATAATCTGGTTTAAGAGTCTCCTGGACTGTTTTCCTTCCCTCTGGTTTTCTTGGCACATTGTGTTTTGCTTTTGTTTGTTGGTGAGCAGCCCTTTGGCATTTACTGTCTTAGAAAATCCTAATAGGACAGCTGTGATAGAGAGGAAGACCCAGATTGTAAATAGCTCTTTTCTTGGGCTGCCAAAAAGGAAGAAACTTGGGTGGAGGGGGATATTACTACCATCCTGTGTGAAGCGAAAATTCTAAGCAGGGAGATTCAGTTCTCTGTTTTCATTTAGGTGTTATTTAATATATTCCCCATTCCCCCAAATTTCCAGATGGGCGTTCAGAGGAAATGCTAGTTAGAGAAAAAGCAGGGGAGGGGGGTGTAGACCTTACTGGTTGGAAACATTGCAGCTTATGCAGGGAAATCCTTGTCTTTCTTCCTCATCCTTTCAAATTGTTTTGAGGGAGTTTTAGTGCTGGTAAAGGATATCCAAGCTTAATCACCTGTAGACGAGAGACGTGGAGGGAAAAGTTAGAGTGAAAGAAGGCTTGCTCAGTCCTGCCTTTTTTTTTTTTTTTGTGAGGGCGGTTTAAGTCTTAGTTTTCAGGTTACTTTGGGACCCGGATTGAGGTCATTGAGGAGCTAGCAGATTCCTACTGGAGTCCTCAGGGCTGACAAACCTGTGCTCCTGACTGCCTGACCCATTACTGGTATTTTCTTTTTCCCAGCTCCTGTTGGTTTATTCTAGTCATCTTGCTGTTGGATTGTTATTCCAGCCTTGTACTACTGCATCTTTACCTCCTCTTGTCATCCCAGTTAGATCGTAAAGTCCTTGTTCAGCCAACTGCCAAGAGCTCTATAAATGGGAGTTTGGGATCTGCCGCTGACTTGGGGAGAATAATTTGTTTTTTGATTCTTAGTGTCACCTATTTTTTAATAGAATGACGATGTTTTGTCTGGTGGGTCAGTTTGAAAATGAGAGAGACAGCGAGAGAGAGAACACAAGCAGGGGGAGCGGGAGAGGGAGAAGCAGGCTTCCCGCAGAGCAGGGAGCCCGATGTGGGGCTCGATCCCAGGACCCTGGGATCATGACCTGAGCCAAAGGCAGACGCTTAACTGACTGAGCCACCCAGGCGCCCCTGTCTTAAGATTTTAAACCTATTGTAGACATGCTCATTAAAGTGGCCCAGGTCACACATATACAACCATTTATTAGTAACAGTTTGATGTTTTTCTTGGTTTTCTTTTCCCTGTGCACAGGTTCTTTCCCCTCTTTCTTTTCTTTTCTTTTCTTTTTTTTTTACAGAGAGAGACAGTGAGAGAGGGAACACAAGCAGGCAGAGTAGGAGAGGGAGAAGCAGGCTCCCCGCTGAGCAGAGAGCCCGATGCGGGGCTCGATCCCAGGACCCTGGGATCATGACCTGAGCCGAAGGCAGACGCTTAACGACTGAGCCACCCAGGCGCCCCTCCCCTCTTTCTTTTAAAAAATTATTACAGAAATACACAACTGCATTCTCATTGTGTTTTAAACAGTGTGGTAAAATACAGAGCAGAACGTGAGAGTCCCTTTCCACCGTCTGTAGTGTCCCCCAACGCACATTTCCTTTCCCAGAGGTAACCACTGGCAGCACTTGGCGAGCACTCTTCCCATCGCCATCCACCGTATGTGTGTGTACATACACACTTCGAAAGCAAGGGCTCCTGTTTGGTGTACTACACAATGACTACTTTTTTTCACTTACCCATAACACAGTGTGTCTTGGGAAATCTTTCTACGTTGGGACACATAGGTCCAACTTGTTTTCTTTACCTTGTTGTGGTTGTTGTTGTTAATGGCTATGTAATAATAATTCATCGTATGGGCATACCTGGCATTTAACTGCCCACCTGTTGGTGGACATGAAGTGTTTAGTTTTTGCTCTCACAGTGAAGCAATCCTGTACAAGCGTGTATCTTTGTGCATGTGTACAAGTGTTTCTGTTGAATAGCTGCCAGGAAGTGGAAATGCTGGCTCAAAGTGAGTGCCTATTTTTGGTTTGGTGGATGCTGCCAAATTGTCTTCCCAGAGGAATTCACCAGTTCAAACTCATACTAGTGGTATATAAGAGTGCTTGTTTTCCTGATCTTTATAAATACCTTTTATTCTCATTTTTGTCAGTCTGATTGGTGAAAAGTAGTGTGTTGTTTTGTTGTTTTAAATTTTATTTTTAAGTAATCTCTACACCCAATGTGGGGCTCAGTCTCACAACCCTGAGATCAAGAGTCATATGCTCCACTGACTGAGCCAGCCAGGTGCCCCTAAACAACTATTTTTTTTTTTTTTAAGATTTTATTTATTTATTTGTCAGAGAGAGTACAAGCAAAGCAGCAGGCAGAGGGAGAGGGAGAAGCAGACTCCCCGCTGAGCAGGGAGCCTGATGCGGGGCTCAATCGCAGGACCCTGGGATCATGACCTGAGCCAAAGACAGATGCTTAACCAACTGAGCTACCCAGGCATCCCTGAACAACTATTTTTAATATTTTTTTTAAGGAAAAAAATAAGACACTTCCTTTCCATGTTACAGAGTGTTTACCTCGTACCAACTGCCAACAGTAGAGGCATTCTCATTAAAAGCAAGAACAAAACAAGACTGCCCTCTACTACCTAATATTATTTTAGAAGCTCTGACCAAGGGGCGCCTGGGTGGCTCAGTCGGTTGAGCGTCCAGCTCTTGATTTCAGCTCAGGTCATGATCTCAGGGTCATGAGATCAAGCCCTACATTGGGCTCTGCGCTGAGCATGGAGCCTGCTTAAGATTCTCTCTCAAAAAAAAAGAAAGGAAGGAAGAAAAAAAAAAAAGGCAGCAGCATCTCTGGCCAGTGCAGTAAGGTGTGAAACAGAAGTAAGAATTAAGGCTTTAAGGATTAAGTTAGATGACACTTCAGCTTCCTAGTACAGTATTTCTGATTCAAACAAAGCACTCAAATTTAGATCTTGTTGTTATTCCGTTTTTTTTTTTTAGCAATAAGACATTCTTTGGAAAGCCCCATTGTCTCTTACATATTTTTTTTTTTTAAGATTTTATTTATTTATTTGACAGAGAGAGACACAGTGAGAGAGGGAATACAAGCAGGGGGAGAGGGAGAGGGAGAAGCAGGCCTCCTGCGGAGCAGGGAGCCCGACATGGGGCTGGATCCCAGGAGCCTGGGATCATAACCTGAGCTGAAGGCAGACGCTTAACAGCTGAGCCACCCAGGCACCCGTCTCTTACATCTTAACACATGTGTCCTGGTGCTTTTATTAATGTGGGTTCTTTCATCTTGGTTCTTGCTGGTCAAATCATTCAGATTACCTGTAGGTCTATGTTGAAGTCTCTCTAAGTCTTCAGTCACCAGTGTAGAGGTGGGTGTTCAATACCTGTGACTGGCTGAATGGTTGGTTCAGTGATATTTTTGATGACCTTTCAATGAACTGTTCTTACAATCCTGGGAGTATTTAGAGGCACGAGTCCCATACTGAGTGAATAATGTCATTAAAAATGAGAAGGGTAGGGCGCCTGGGTGGCTCAGTTGGTTAAGCGACTGCCTTCGGCTCAGGTCATGATCCTGGAGTCCCGGGATCAAGTCCCGCATCGGGCTCCCTGCTCGGCGGGGAGTCTGCTTCTCCCTCTGACCCTCCTCCCTCTCATGCTCTCAGTCTCTCATTCTCTCTCTCTCAAATAAATAAATAAAATCTTAAAAAAAAAAAAAATGAGAAGGGTACATGGGACGCCTGGCTGGCTCAGTTCGTAGAGCATGCAACCCTTGCTCGTGGCTTCGTGGGTTCGAACTCCATATTGGGGGTAGAGTTTACTGAAAAAAAAAATACACAGAAGAAAATGTAATACTTCATTGGCTTCTAGAGCAGAGTTCAAACATATGCCTGAAGAGAAAATGGATTCAATTTAAAAGATTAAAAAAAAAAAAAAAAAGATGAGAAGAGTACAAAAGAGCAAGCTCTTAAATGATATTGTTATCTTGACGCTAGACTCCCTGTTCAGCAAACGATTGTGTATTGTCCGTGTTATGCATTTCTGTAGTAAATAGCTGCTGTTCTTTATCAGGAGTCATGTGGATGTAACTAGTTTGGTTAAACACCACAGAGAATTCTTTTCTAAGTAATTAGCTGGCTCTAGATTTGGTTTGTGACTTCAGTTTTCTTTTTTCTTTTTTTCCGCCTCTATAGCATCTGGAGAGGGCCAAACGTGAACTGTGTTGACAGCACTGGGTATACACCTCTACACCATGCTGCTTTGAATGGCCATAAGTAAGTATTAATGTGCTATATTCCTGCCCTACCCTCCAGAACCCAGGCCTTTGGGTTGTCTTTTCTTCGTTTCTGTAAAGGATTACTAAGCAGTAATGTTGAGGAACAGGGGAAAACAAACTAAATTCAGTCCATCCAGAGTTCCTCAGTCTCTCGTTAGTATATAATTTAAGCACCCTTCCCTATTCCACCCCGCAAAAAACTTCAACCAAAGGTTAAGTTTTACCTTTTCTGCTTTGAAATGGTGCAGTGCCACACAGTGATCTGAATATGAAGGTCACATTTGGGGCAGCCAGATCATAAAGGGGCTGGATAATCTCTTAGGGAACCAGCACCTTTGTAACCTGAAAATAGATTGAGTGGTCATAAGAAACTTCCCTTCTGTTAAAGTAGTTATTTATTTACTCTTTTGGCTTGCCATTCTTCCTCATACAGTTAGCCTTGTAGACAACAAGAGCCCTTTTTAAGGGGAAAAATACATAAATCATATGGCCTATTTAATTCTCCTAGGTATTGGTTAGTAGTTATCGGGTGGGATTTACGCAGAAAGTTTTCTGGAGAAGCTGCGCTTTGGGGGGAGTGTGAGAGAAGATGACATAGGTTTAAATGGTCTGGCGGCCTTTTCCAGAGGGCACTGCCCTCCATGTGAGAGAATGTGATGGCTCAGCCCAGGGCCAGACAGAGTCATGGAGTACAGTGAGTAGATTTGCCAGGATGTGGAAGAATGGAAACCAGAGTGTAGCAGCACAGAGGGTGGTAAGGAGAGTTTGAGGCGTCATACTCTAGGGGATAAGAAGTAGAAATTTAGTTTTCATGAGGGGGGATTATTGGAACCATTTTCGATTTTGCTGAGCAAGGAGCAGGGCCCTCACTACCTTGTGGTACTCCGTATCACTTGTGCGGTATTTGGCCCAGCCTGATGGACTCTGATATGCCAAAAAGAGGTGATGATTGTTTCCTTCTACATTAAACTTTTCTGAAATATATTGAATGTGATCTTTATGTCTTTTCTATGGCCATCTTAGACAAAGCTAACAAGGACTCTGTGGAGACCCCTCCCCCCATAACTAGGGGGTAACCTGAATTAAAGTGAATCTTGAACTTAAATGACTGCAGCTTGTTAGCCAAGCTTATTTCCAGATTCTGTTTTTATTTACAGTGGGGGTTTTCTTTGACCTCATGTGCATGGGGATAATTATATATTTCTATCTGCTTAATTAGAGGTGTCACCAAAAAGAAAGCCAAGCCCTTCTTTCTGGATATATCAAATGATACCATATGTGTCTGGCTTATGTTTACAGCAACTTTAATTCTGCTCTGCCCGTCTGCTTTTAGCTCCCACATCACTAAATGCTCTGAATAATGTGGTGAATAATGATATTTGTCTTGCATGACTACTTTTATGTAAATTTTATCTCTGAATGCTGTTTAAACATCACAAACAAGGAAACACTGCAAGGTTTAGACAAGGGGACCAGATGTTTTCAAAATAATGGAATATAGGTGGATTGTCTAGAAAGCCTGGAGAAATGGCGAGGTGATGAGTCAGTGTCGTTTGGCTCAAGATATTTCGGCTGCATATCAGCAGCTGTATACGTAGCTCATGGAATAAAAGGAAGAGACTGGGTGATGAGCTCAGGTAGAGAGAAGGGAGCCGAGTGGGGTAATATCTGAAAAGGTCTTCATGCTACCCAAATGTGAAGAGCTGTTAGTAGGAAAGACTTCTGAGTTCTGCAAACTCATGATTGATTTTTGCCTTCTAGGGATGTGGTTGAGGTTCTTCTGAGGAACGATGCGTTGACCAATGTGGCTGATTCCAAAGGCTGTTACCCTCTGCACTTGGCAGCCTGGAAAGGAGATGCCCAGATAGTGCGGTTGCTCATCCATCAAGGGCCCTCACACACCAGAGTCAACGAACAGGTCGGAAGGAAGAGAAGCGTTCTTCCCTTCAGCTATAGCCAGACTGTGGCGGCCCCAGCACTGTTTCAGTTCCATAGCACAGATCTCAGGGAACCAGCTCTTCCAGGCCCTACAAATGCTTCCCCCCACCCCACCCCCAGTGCCACTCCTCCGAGGGCATCAGGGAGATCTTATACCCCAAGGATGCATTTTACACGCATTTGAATCATGCAGATTTGGAGTAGTGCTATAATAAAGATCTACATACCTCGTGTGCACAATGGGACATAATACAAATCCCGTAAAATTGCTTAGAGGCCATTTCACACCGGCAGGCTTAATTAATTACAAGTTGTGCTTACACCATCAACATGGCAGTGCAGCTGTAGCCGGTAAATAGCAGTCCTCTCGGTGCGGTGCGCATCAGTGCTGCGTGAACCCTGCTGTGTTTTCCCTACATCACAGCTGCCAGAAGTGGAAGGACGCGTCCCGGGACTGAAAAAGGAGTTCACAGAAACCATCTGAGTAAGCTCAGGGGTCAGAGGTGATTCAGCAGAAAGAAAATCATTTACCTGATGTCCCCTAAGGTCAACTTGAGAGTGACCATGCTTTGACAAAGCGGAGATAATTCTTAGAAAATAAAGAAAAAAGGCAGCATTTGAGCAAAAATACCTTAAAATGGCCATGGATTTAGGTACTCTGAGACTGTACCTCCTCTTTTTTACATTGATTCCTTTGGAAAAGTTATACTTACATTATGCAAGTTCTAGACAATCCTCATAAGATGCAGTTTCCTGTAGTGTGGGTCTGAGATCGTGTGTCCATTTGAGAGGAAATGGGCTTTCCCTGTGTGACAGGCCATTCTGTTTTCCTCACTGCTCTGAACCGAAGCAGGTCCTTTTCTTAGTTGCTTGAATGAGAGAGAGAGAGGCTGCTCTTTCTCAGTAAGCCCAGGACTATTTTCCTAATGACTTTGCTGAGAGGAGATTGTTAAATTACCTATAGAATTAGATCAGGGTTATGCCTCAAAAAATAGGAAATCATTCTTGCCAGCCCATCTATCAGCAAGGCTATGCACACTCTCAGTGAGCTGTTAGGAGCACAACTGACTCAGAGAAGGGCAGCTTCACTCTGAGGTTTGAGAAAATTAAAGCAATGCTCCCAGATCTTTCAGTTTGGAGATTGTGTGTGTATAGCTGTTCATCAGCCTTCCTTTCCCCTTTCAAGCTGTATTTTCTGGATAGATAAGCCACAGAAATTTAAGATAATCAATGAGGATGTTTGTGTTATAACATTAAGAATGAAAATTGTCTCTAGAATTGCTGCTTCAGAATCTAAATGCAGTTTTACTCCTCCTGGCTAAACTGATTGTAATTTCTCTTAACTGGAGGAAATTTATAAGGAAGTTTGCTTTTAACTAATACTCCTCAATGTTAAACAAACTAGTCACCCATTACAGTCCTTCTCATTTAAGAAATTTTCGGCAACCATTTCTAATCCTGTCTTTGCTCACTTTTGCCTTGGAACACAGCTGCTTGGATTTTTGAGCCACTTGAGTGTGCTAGCTTGTCCTGCTCACAGCTGCCTCCCGCCTGGAGTATCCATTGATAGGTGGGACACCCGCCCAGTGTTCTGAGTATGTGGCAGGCAGGTGGGTGGGGCAGGGGCTGGGCAAGACGTCTGTAATAGCTGGAAGAACCTAATGGCTCTAGGTAGTAGTACCACGCTGATCTATTCAGAAACCAGTAATGAGGCTCCAGTTGGATGCTTGGTTAAGAGCGGGTGATGAGTGCTGTGCCCTTGAGCCTGCCTTCCCCATTCACTTCCTTTCCAGGAACCCAGAGGGCAGATCCAAGTTGTTCTCATGTTGGGCCCCCTCAGGGCTGGGCTTTGCTTTGATATATTTCATCCATTTTATCATCACATTTTCTTTTCCTCTCCTTTTTATAGAATGCTCTTGAGATCAAAGAATTCAAAAAGTACGGCCCCTTTGACCCTTATATCAATGCCAAGGTGTGTACGTTGCTGCCAGGATTTCTCTGCATCATTTCTCCAAGCTGCACTCCCTCTTTGGTCCTCTCTGGCTTCCACTCTTGTCCACTCAGGCTCCTCATCATCACCCTGACTATTGTCTGCTTCAGCCCATCTGCTTTTGGCTTGTCTGGGAATGGGAAATTGCAGCTCCAGTGGGTTTGGGTTTTATTTTTAAAACCCATGCTAATTCTGGAAAGGTTGGGTGCTTTTTCTGGAATGTCTGAAAAGCTTAGAAATGGCCGAAATGGGGAAAGAGAAGGAACCATATTATATGCATAATTTACCATTGTGATTGCTAAAATAATTTAAATTGAAAAAAGAAAAATTCAATTAAGAGATGTCAAACATATTAGCTTACTTTTTAATAAACACAGAAAAATGATTAAATTGTACTAACTGGATTAAAAAATTTTTTTTACTCTGCTTTCTCTATTTCTTTTGAAGTGGAATCTCATTTTCAATAAGCTAGTATTGGAGGTGTTGGGGAAGGGGCTTGGGGACTCCATTTTACTCTTAAAAGCTGTCCTTTTCTGCTCCCTCCTCATTTCCTTGAGTTTGTGCATTTCTGCCTGGGACTTTAAAGCCTCTGTTGCTTCTCCCCAGCTATTAACTTCTCTTACTGCTTGGTCACTCTTGGCCCTGGGAAGGGCTCTGAAATAGGAAATAAAGTCACAGGGTCAAGCAGGGCACTGGCCTTGAGTCTCCCTCCCTGTGAGGCTGGGGCAAGTAGTGGCCCTGTTAGGCCTGGTGATGAACTGCCCAGACCCTCCAGCCTTCACCACACCAGGAGGCAGAGCTTGTGGGTTGGTGATGGTTAGCCTGTCTCCTCGGTGCTCTCACCTCCTGGTTTTGATCCGAATTTTCATTCAGGAGAGGTTTGCTTTTTGGCACCAGTCTGGAGTTTGGTTGAGTCAGTGCATTAGTCACATTGGCTCTGAATACAGTTGCCTCAGGGAAGAGAAACATTAAGGTACTTCTGCATGTTTCCAAATGCTAGGCAGATATTCTTTGAGAAATGGTGATTTAGCGAACCGCGGGCTGGATCTAGGCAGCCTCTGTGGGCCATGTTCTTCAGCTCTCGGGCCTTAATGGCCGAGAAGCAGTTTGATTTGGGGTAGTGGGACACATTAGCTTTTGTTTGGCCCTCTCTCTCTGAATTCTGTTTTCTAATTTTCAAAAGAGGAAGATACCCTATCTTCATTTTCTTCTTTTTTTTTGGATTTGGTGTAGTAGAGGAGAAAACTCTTAAAGGTCACAGCCTTTCAAGTCAGGCCTGAGTTTGAAATCCGTGCTGCCACTGACTGGTTTTGTTGACTTAAAATAAGTTACTTAATTTCTGTGAGCCTTAGTTTACTCTTCTGTAAAGTGCAGTATACCATCTACCTTGCTGGATTGTTTTGGAGTTTAAATAAGAGAATGTACATTAAGTACAACTATCTGGTAACTAGTAATATTTGAGATCTGACTTTTAAAGGGTATATACAGTGTGGTGTTTCTGAAACAGCACTTTGGAATCTGTTCTTTGTTACTGGTGGATTGAAGATTAATGAAACATTGCTCAATTAGTCTATTCAGGGTTTTGTTTTATGGGGAGGCACCATGAAGTGATTGTTTTCCCACTCGGTGGTTAGTTCAGTTAGCTTATAAAACTCTGATTAAAGAGTAAGTCTTTGGTTCTTAAAAGCACATTTTCTTATCCCTTGATTTCCCACACAAAAAAGAAAATTGGTCTAAATGGAATAAGAACATAACTTCTCTCTGGAAATACCGCCCTTTGCCGCCTTCCCACCCCCTGAAGGCCAAATGATGCAAACTACACTAAGGGATAAAGCTGTTTGGATTTTGCTACGAATGCAAACTCTCTTTGAGCTGATGTGTATCTAACCTCGCTGGGTTTTATCCTGATTCAGTGGGTTTTTATTGACCTGGATTGTGTCTGGGAATTGTTTTGTGTGCTAAGTCCTATCAGGCACCTGTAGAAATTAAGAAGTCTCAAGTGCCTATTCTGGGAGCGGGGGTAGTTTTCATGAGCTTTCATCTTCCTCTTCGACATATGGAGCCTTTCCTTTTTCAGCAAGTCAGCATAAACCAGTCTAAAATGTAGGTCATCCATAGCTAAGGTGGAACTATTAAAATTGTTTATTTGCCCCCTTCTAAAATAATTTTAATTTAGTCTGAATATCGTAAGGTGGGCAGTAGTCAAATTAGTTTTAAGGTAGATCTATTTTCCTGTACACTTAAAAATAATTAAGTTTCAGAACTGGAAGAGACCTGGAAGTTGTCTCGACCAGTTGTCTCCACATTCTGATCAGCTTGTCTGGTTGCATCTGAATCACCTAGCAAGCTTTTATAAAACTTTTTATCTTGAAAAAATTTTCAACTTACAAAAAGTTGCAAGCATAATGCAGTGAACTGCATTGCACCCTTCATCTAGATTCACCAGTTGTTAACATTTGTCTCATTTGCATGCACATTTTTTCTCTCTCTCTCATTGTTGCTATAGTTGATGATGAACTGTTTGATACTTAGTCATGGATATCATGACCCTTTAACCCCAAATACTTAAACATGTATCTCCTAAAAACAAGGGCATTCACTTTTATAACCACAGTATAGTTATCAAATTCAGGAAATTCAGTATTGATATAATACTGGAATCTCTGATGTAGAATCTATGTTCGGATTTCACCAATTTCCCCAATAGTATCCTGTAGAGCAGTTTTGTTTTTTTTTTTCCTGGTACAAGATCCAATCTAGGATCATACATAATTTGGAACAATTCCTCAGCCCTTCTTAGTCTTTAATGACTAGGAACCACAAACATGACATCCCTGGGTGGGACCGAACCACCAACCTTTCAGTGAACAGCTGAACCCGCTAAGCGATTGCCATAGAGACCTGCGACACTGACGGTATTGAAGAATATAGACCAGTCATTTTGTAGACTATCACTCAGTTTGAGTTTGTCTGATATTTCCTCATGATTAGATTCAGGCCCTACAATTTTAGCAGGAACACCACAGGAGTGATGTTATATCCTTCCTTCACATTATAAGACACGTGATGTCAGTTTGTCTCGCTGATAGACGATTGCTTGGTCAAGTTGGTGCCTCCTAGGTTGGTAAGCTTTTTAATAATAGTCTTCCTGGACTTTACCCTTTGAGGTGCTACCTTGGCAAGTCTGCGGTGGGACTTAGTTACTTTTAAGCTCCCATGTAATTCCAAAACAAAGCCAGTTTGAGAACCACTGATCTAGGCCAACTTTCCATCCAGAGCAGGAATCCTTTTCTCTCACCTGAAAGATGAGCCATCTACCCTTTGTTTTATTTGGTTGGTTGTTTCTCTTGGTAACAAGCAGACTTACTGCTTGGCAGCCTCTTTTTGGATTCCACTGATTTTTGGTTTCTTACACTTGGCTGATATCTGTCTTTCTAAACTTTCCATCTGTTGGTCAGGGTTCTGCCCTCCAGAGCACTGCAGAGTAAGTCTAACTCTTCTTCCACATGGACTCAGTTCTCGTGTTTCTCTCGTGTCTGCTAAATCTCAGTAGGCCCCGTTTGTCCTTTTGTTCCAATTTTGGTAGATTTCTGAAACATACCATTGTTGCTACAGAGAGCTGTAGCTCAGTTGTTTCTAACTTAGGTATCTATCAACAGTGGTCAAGAGTACAGTTGTGCTGTAATCTAAGCACTGGGAAGTGATGGTTTAGAATAGTTTCAAGAGGAGAAAAGCCACCGAAATGTTTCTGTATAGTTTTTTGTTGCTTGTAGTTTATGCATATGTGAGATAGGTAGATAGGAATAAACAGTGCATAAATATAATGGATTTACACACTAACTGGGGTCTCCATATGTAAAGGGTATTGGGATCTCTCTTCTTAGAGGTACTGACTATAGCAAGGAGAAATGAAAGTGAGTCTCAAGATGGGCAGCAATGGAAAGTTTGTGCAAAGACTTTGGGGAAAATTGGGGTGTTTGATCTTAGTCTCCTTCCTCAGTCCAAATACACAGTAATAAGATTCTGGGAACTCTTGAGGTGTGATGAGCACCTGTGGTATGATTTGGAAGGTGTGAAAGAGAAAGATTCTGGGTCCTGAGGAGTCTGTACTCCCCTTGGAATCCCTCCCTTTCTTGTGGGTTCCTGAATCAACACTAGTGATTTCCTGCCCTGATAGTTGTCACATTCAAAGCTCCTGGGAGCTGGTAGGAAGAGCTCATTGTGATGGCCTATGTTCAGTAGTTGAGAGATGGGGTCACAGACTTCAACTCAAGAGTATTATAATTACCAGACCATGTTTGGCAAGACTGGAGCATGAGAAAGATGCTTTCTACACTGTGAATTTGAGTATAATATTCTGCAGAGATGTGGTTAGGCCATTTTGAACAGAGGCAGGAAATTTGCCTAGTAGTGATCAAGACCTTGCTTTCAGTAAGTCAGCTTTGTGGTAGGTGCCCTGGGTTCTAGCAAAAAACAACAATGAAAAACCCCAAGATTTTTCTTTTCTTTTTTCTTTTTTTTCCTCCTGCTGGATAGCTTTGAGTTTTACAGTTCTTTGGACCTTAATGGCGTATTTTTACACAATTGAGGACAGATTATTCTGGTTGTTGGGAGACAACTTGGATATCAAAGAGACAGCAGTGTCTGCCTCAAAGTAAACAAGTTGTTCTGGATTGGGGTTTTAATAAGAATAAGCTGACTTTCTTGGCCCTGCTCTCATGTTAATCTTGAGATACAAAACCCTGAGAATCCTCTTAAAACTTCTTTGGGTTGCCACTCTGCCCTGGAACCACTGTAAAGAAAGCCCCCATGTGTTTTGATGAAGCTGCCTCTCATGGTGAGAACATGAAGTGACAGCTCTAAGTTGGCTCAGGGAGTTCATGCTCAGTTGGAAATGGGCATTCCAAATGGGTGTCTTAAGTGGTTGGTTTGGCACAGGGAACCCCAAAGATTTGCTTTCTTCCCAGAGTTTCCCCTTCCCTCCAGCCTTTTAGGTTGACATGGAATCCACCCCTTGGGCCCAGTTGTAGCATAGGAGGCCATTACTAACCGGCTGTGTCCTGTGGCCAGCAAAGGCTGTCTGCACTTCAGCTGCTGATCTCCTTGAGCTGTGTTTGAGCTCAGCACTGCTTCTTCTGTTTATGTGTGTGCATTTATCTTTGCATGTGGCTCCTGCTACCACCCTTTCTGTCCTTATTTCCTTGGAAAGTTTTTCTTTGCTATCACTCTGGCCTTTGGGGACCTCGCTCCCAGAAGCTCTGGATCTTTCTGGTACACTTGGTATAGCTGGAAAAAAAATGATGCAGTCAAATGCCAGATCAAAAGCAGATGGAATTGCATGCATGTTTGGGTAACTCCTGGTCTGTTACTTTTAATGTAATTAATAGAATTAAAGTAATTGTGGAAGCATTTCATTTTTACCTTTTGATTACTGAAAGGTGCACAATATTGACTTGATGGACACACCACCTCGTCAGCTTTGTTTTCCTAAAGTGGCAGAAGCCTCCTGGATAAATTTAGGAATCTCCAAGCCTTGTGGGAGAATTATTTTCATTAGTGCATCTAAAAAAGGAGAGGTCATGGAAATTACTTTATTCCTGCTCTGATTATACATTGTCAGTAGTAGTAAAAGAAAGCACAATTGGAATGATTAACATTTTGCTTCTGATGGTGGATGAAGCACAAACTTCTCTTTCATCCCAGGTTATACCTTTAGTTTGAAACAAAATTGGCATTAAAGGGCCCCAGGGTTGTGAATTTGAATTACATGTTACAACTTTGAATATTTTGCACCTCTCAGAAAACATTCCCATGGCTGATTGAATCTTTCCTACATAAGAAGAAACACTTCCCTGCGTTGTAGATTGTGCATGTGTTGATTGGTGCAGGCTCCTGGAGTAGGCACAGGGTGACAGCAGGGTCCCAGGTTCCTCTGTGACTGAGCTCAAGCACCTCCCTCCCCTGGAAATGGCTGTTGGCTGAGATCTCAAGAGTGATTTTTGGTGCTCAGCTCTGTTACTTTGATTGTTGGCTGGTTGATTTGCATGCAAGACGCTATGCAGATGACAAACTCTTTGAAAAAAGCTTGTCTGTAAGGCAGTGGATGGTCAACAAAGCCAGAATCAGAACTACAGGGTTGGCTGAATATAAATTGTAAAACCAGTTGAAGTTTAAAATGAGTCAATGGCAGTGATATTACTGGCACTCATGTGTGCCAGGGCTTCTGCCCAGGGCCCGCCACATTCCCCAGTTAACTCTCCTTGCCATCTGTGGGCACTTTCTTCACGGCACACAGGAGACAGTAAATCTGAGGGGGTTGACAGCTCCCCTCTGGCAGTAACTGGGGCGCGCTGTGGCTGATTGGAGCGGCTGGCCTCATTTGTTGGGGAGTACATCTTCATTCTGACCGACTTCTAGAAGTCCCCAAATATCGCTGCTATTTTCCTCATTTAAATTTCAGTGGTTTTCCATGTAATCGTCCCAGTCAGAGGCCAGTCTGCCAGTTACCCTTCTGATGGGATCTGCTTGTCAACTCTTTAGAACAACGACAACGAGACAGCCCTGCACTGCGCCGCGCAGTACGGCCACACGGAGGTGGTGAAGGTCCTCTTGGAGGAGCTGACGGACCCCACCATGCGCAATAACAAATTCGAGACCCCTCTGGACCTGGCTGCACTATACGGGAGACTGGAGGTGGTGAAGATGCTCCTCAATGCGCACCCCAACCTCCTGAGCTGCAACACTAAGAAGCACACCCCCCTGCACTTGGCAGCGCGGAACGGCCACAAAGCTGTGGTGCAGGTCCTGCTGGACGCCGGCATGGACAGCAACTACCAGGTAGTGGAGCAGACTCCCCCACCCCCACCCCCACCCCCACCCCCTGGGCTCCAGGGGCCAAGTCATGGTGGGCAAGGCACAAGGACCATGCTGCTGGGCTGCGTTCTTATTTAGCACGTTTCACATCCCATGTCAGACGCTTCCATCCATTGACTCATTTTCATGTGAAACTTCAGAGACAAACTCCTCAAGTGAGTCTGTTACTGGTTTTTCTTTTCTTTTCTTTTCAGGGGTAATATATAGTCATTATGCCCTGAAAAGATGTGCTTGTGGACTCTCTCTCAAAATTAGAAAAATTTCATTATCTTCCTATACAGGCGTTCCCACTGCCACCATTTGCCACCTGCAAAGTCCCATCAACTTGATATTGCCAGCGGGAGGTTTAGCATTTCCCTGCCTAGCTAGCTTTGTCCATCCCGATGAATGACTGTTCCTTAGGTTTGGCACTGACCAGACCACCAAACCACATGTGAAGTTAAGGTGGTATTTTATTTATTTGTTTGTTTGTTTGTTTATTTGTTACCTTTGTACTTTTCTCTCGTTATTCCTTTCCCCCGGGAAGGGGCGTCTTGAGGAATTTCACCAATAGGTGGCTCCCAGAGTTGCTGCGCAGTTATTCCTGTGTGGCCGGATGGTGGCACTTCAATGAGCACACTTCACATCGGGCCATGCTTGTGGTCCGGGAATCCAGACAAGAAAAGTGGGAAAGATAATGACAGAGGACTTTGTGTGGTTGATTTTATTTTCCTGCCCCTTCGTGTCTATATCCCGTTTGTCGTGTGGAGCCACGCCGAACCTGGGTCACTGTTCTGATGACATGCTGCTCTGCGCTCTCGTTTGCCTTCCAGACGGAGAAGGGCAGTGCTTTGCATGAGGCTGCTCTGTTTGGCAAGACTGATGTGGTGCAAATCCTGCTGGCTGCAGGTGAGAGGCTGGCCGCGCTCTCGTTCCCGCGGCATGCCAGGGGTGGGCTTGTTTTTCCCTAGCCTCCCGCAGGGGGATTTTTGCTGGCTGCACTTGAACCCAATGGATGTATGTCTCCACTGGTTGATTGCAAGTGTACGAATTGTTCTCGAAGAACTGGATTAAATGGCTTTGGATGAAAAAATGTTGGTCGTGCTACTGGGAGCATTAGGAGTCCTGGAATTTGGGGCGCCTGGGTGGCTCAGTTGGTTAAGCGACTGCCTTCGGCTCAGGTCATGATCCTGGGGTCCCGGGATCGAGTCCCGCATCGGGCTCCCTGCTCGGCAGGGAGTCTGCTTCTCCCTCTGACCCTCCCCCCTCTCATATGCTCTCTCTATCTCATTCTCTCTCTCAAATAAATAAATAAAATCTAAAAAAAAAAAGGAGTCCTGGAATTTGACCCCTTTTGAGGCTGACTTGCAACTGCTCACTCCCCCCTGGTCCACCTGGTGTACCTTTCTAGGAATTGATGTCAACATAAAAGATAACCGTGGCCTGACTGCCCTAGACACTGTCCGGGAACTGCCTTCTCAAAAGAGCCAGCAGATAGCAGCGCTTATCGAAGGTACCCATTCATCTGCCTGTCGGGGTGACCAGGGGACACACTGGCCAAACCAAGGCATTTGTATTTGGTGCAGCTTTTTTTGTCTTTCCACTTAGATCACATGACTGGAAAAAGAAGTGCAAAAGAGGCCGATAAAACCCCCACTTCCCAGGGACCTCTCATCTCCAATATGGACTCCATATCCCAGAAGTCTCAGGGTAAGGTGGCCTTTCGCTGACAACGAAGGGGCTGTCAGCTTGAAGAGTTGAATGGTCTTTGATAGAATAGAAAAAACTTCATTTAAATAATAATTTCAGGGGGTTGAGAGTACTTAATAAGTTCATATTCACATTTATTGTTTTCCAGCTGGTATGTGAACTTTTATTGGACAGAGCTTAGGCCTTTTACTTTGGACCTCTTCTTTCCTACTTTATCTTATTCTCTACTCTTACAGTTGGCTCTGTGAGGTCTATTCTGGGATGTGTTGTCGGCGGGATGATCTCAAGATGAATTCACATCTCAAGGAAACCTTTTCCTAACACACACTATTCTGCTTTGAGCATAGTTGGCCCTCAGTAAATACTGAGCGAGTGTCATCTGGTTGGTAGATGTGTATATGGCAGATTTTGGTACTATATCATTTGGCCAACAAATGTGGTCTGGGCACTAGCTTGGGCAGTCCAGCCTCCCCATCATTAGCCACGACCCACCCTTTCAGATTTATTGAGCAGCCTTTTGGGTCCTAGGTATGATGAATGAGAAAGACAAAACACTGACTGATGCCTTCTTCAGATACAAAGCATAGTAAAGAAGGCCAGAGGAACAGAACGAAGCCAGACACTGAAGTGGGAAAGGGATTTTTCAGAGGGGTGCAGAGGTATAAGGTTAAAGGGTGCTTGGCCTGTCTTCACTGTGGAGTCCTTGTCTGCCCCCACCTCCACCACCCCCATTTTTTTTTCTTGACCTCATAATCTACTGGTAATGGGATTAGTAGTTCACTAAGCTCTTAGCTTTCAAGGATTTTACAGTTACGGTTTTGACTATTTGCCAGAGACCCAGAGATCTCTGGTCCACAACAGTCTATAACTTTTCAGAGTCACAAATTTGGATCCCAGGTAGTCTGAGGTTCGTAATTCTCTGGTGAGTTTAACCTCGCACACTGCCTCTGTCAGAGAGGCTTCACCATCCTCTCTTTCGCTTGAGCACGTGGAGGTTTCTACTAAGAATTTAAAGGATTACTTAAGTTTCCAGTTATACTTCACTACGTTTTATGGTTTAAGTTGACGCTATGATGACATTGAGGTTCTTGAGAATTTTAAAGGTCTTGGGAGGTATCCTTCATAGGTGTCAAGGGTTTGCCATTTTGAATTAGAGAAAAATCTCTTGAAGTCTCAGGGTATAAAGAGCAACTGAAACTCTCTATATTTATTCCTGTCCATGGAGCAAAGCAGTCATTTTATTTTCCTGCTGTCGGTTACTGTTTGTCAAGTTCAGGTTGATGAGGGGCTTTGGGTGGATGCAGTGGTTGGAAATCCGAGATTGTGCTTTCTGTCCATTGACTCTTGCTCTCTAACCTGTTCAGGTGACGTGGAGAAAGCAGTGACTGAACTGATCATTGATTTTGACACCAACGCTGAAGAGGAAGGTCCCTACGAGGCGCTGTATAATGCTGTCTCCTGTCATTCGTTGGACAGCATGGCCAGTGGGCGATCATCTGACCGAGACTCCATGAACAAGGAGGCCGAGGCAGCAGGAGTGAAGGCTGCTGGAGTGAGGCCTGTATGTGGCCTGGGGCCCTCGACAAGCGGGGGCTGTGTTGTCAGCCTGTGCTTTGGTGGGGCGCTGGGAGAGGGAGTGTGCCCTGAGTGCCCGCTCACTTTCCAGAGGCCTGCAGCCTACTCCCTCTGTTCTCCTGGGGCCCTGCCACATCTCTCTCTTGCCTAGCGTGGTTATATTATATAGGTCCCCTTGAGGTAGAATTTTGGTTTTTCTGATTTCGGTATAACATGTTTGCATCATTCTATTAGTTTTTGGCCTTAGAGCAAATTGAAACATTTTATTTCCATTTAGCCTCGTGTGGCGTCTATCTTTGGGGTCTTTGCTGTAAATTGTTAGTTTTCTCTCTGGAGAGCAGTTCCACAGTGAAAGAGCTCACTGAAGTAAGTTCTTGTCTGCCCTGAGTGCATTCTCACCTTCCATTTGCCCTCAGAGTGTTATCCATTTGGATCTGGACAGATTCTGCATTCAGCAGGGTTGTAGCAAGGCTTAATCAGATATCATATGTGTTGGTATGTGGCATTCCTGTTTTTCCCAGTTATCATCTCTCCAGCCATTTCTTTCTCAAGGTCCACCTTCCCATCTTACTACTTCTTTCTCCAGTACTGGCTTTTGCTTCCAGTCTTGTCCATTGTTCTCAAGACTTTTCTCCCTCAGGGTTTTACTCTGAGCCTAAGCCTGAATCAGTGGTCCCATTGACCTTCCTTCCTACATTGCCAGCACAATAATTTGAAGTTTTGAGCACCACATTTTTACTGAACTTGCCATTGCTTAACAGAATCCCAGTACTCCCAGCTTGAGGCAGATTTTCAGGTGTATATTATTTCTTCCTGTTGGAGAGGCCAGCATTTCCCTTTTGGTCTAAATCTGCTTTATGACCATTTAGATGAACCTTTGGCCACTAGGTGATCTTTGGGTTTTTCAGATGTGCCCTGGGAATGGCTTGATGTTTCTTAGTGTTCTTTTTTGTTAGGTTCCATGTCTGGTCCTAGAATAGTATTTCTGTATGAATTTTGGAAATTCATACCAGTCTGTGGTAGCCCACTGGAGTGGGTATTATCAAGGACTGGTAAAACTCCTTGTGAGTGATGGAAGCACATGCATATGCCAAGGACCCCTAGCATGGTGCTTCTGTAGACAGAGCTGGTTTGTTTCACTTTTACCTTAGGTATGATGAAGCAAGCAAACCCACCTGTGGAGGAAGGCATTGCTTTGTGGTACTTACAGGTGATGTCCATTAGAGGGAGCTGGAGGCTTTACAAGAAGAACACAGGCTTCCTGAAGTGAGCTCTGAATAACCAAGTTCCTATGGGCTTAGCCACTGATTTATAGTCTCTTTGTTCTGTCCCACTCCAAGAATCTATCCTCTGGTGGTCTTGCTAAGTAAAAACTGATGCATCTTGGGGTGCATGCTTTGCCGTTTTTACTTGCGTACGTGGTGGCTGTGCTACTTGGTAATTACCTGTGGCCAAGGGGCTGCTCTGCATCTTACCAGTGTGGTGGATGGTGAGTCTAAATCAGCTCTGCACTTACAGGCCCTGGGCCAACGTTCTCACGTTCGGAAAAAAAGAGCCTCCTGCTTCTCTTTCTTTCCAGTGTCCCTGGTGGTCACTTCTTGCACAAGAGCTGTTCATATTGTTCTTTCTAGGCTCCTTTAGTCTTGAGAGGGCTTCTGGGATGGGTCCTTTTTGTCGCTGTTGTGTTCCATTTTGTTCTTCCTCAGCTATTTTTGTCCCGAGGTTGGATAACTGGTGTGGATGATGGGCCTGCTCCCTTTGCTATTCCGTCCCTTACGAGGTGCCACTTGCAAGGAACCACTCTTGTTTCTGCACTTCTGGAGTAAGACGGCTAGGGAAAGTGGAACTTAGTAGGAAATCTGGTCTCATAGCTTTGTTTGGCTTGAAAAGATGAACCTGTTTCGAAGTTGTTGCTGCTGGGCGGCCATCTGGTTCCAGGGACTATAGGAATGACTGATTTATCAAGATAGAATCCCGAGGGGCAAAGCATATTTGAACAGAGAGAGATCATGGATGCCAAATGCTAACCGAATGCCACCTGACCCTGGCCGCTCCTGGGACACGGGAGATGTCTTGCAGACCTCTCTGAGGCTCTTGTGTAATTCAGCACGTGCCTCCACCCTGACTTTTATAAATATTCCTGTTCTAGCAACACGGTGAGCTAACCTACAAGCCAGGGAGTGAGCCTGCAAGCCAACTCCTGGGTCAGGTTCCCACTCCCTTCCCTGTAGGAACATGATTATGAAGCATGGTTAGGACTTCGGAGTGTAAACAATGCTGACGGTACCGCAGGTACAATGGCAAATCTCTCTCCAGCCTTCTGCCACCGAAGGTTGTGTGTGTTCCTGAAATTGTCCACCTCACTTGACCTCGCTAATCCCTCTTTCAGGGTGTTTGTTGCTCCAGGGCAGGGGTTGGCAAAATATGGCCCACAGACAGCTGCCCATTTTTTGAATAAAGTTTTATTGGAACACAGCCACACTTGTCTACGTATCTTCTCTGGCTCCTTTGTACTGCAGTGGGGGGTTGACCACAAAGCCTAAAATATTTACTATGTGGCCCTTTAAGAAAGAGCTCGCTAACCCTTGCTCCAGGGCAGACAGCTGACAAATACTCCTTTTTTTAAATGGGCTGAGATGAAAGGTTTTCATATGTGAGCGATACGTAATACATTGAAGGAGGTGACCAAGGATTAGATAGAGACCAGTTCTGAGCTTTGGCGAATAAATAGGGGTAGCGTTAAAGTTTGAGCAGGAATTGATGTTTTTGTCCTGGATTACTTTCCCTAGTACTTCCTTAATAATGCGGGTTTGTTAGAACTCTGACAAGCTGATTCGTTTGATTTACTGCTTCCTCTTTTTAACATAGTCTGAAAGTTGAGCCACTGGCTTTTCTGGGCTAGTTTTATTATGGGTATTATGAAGGACATTTTCTGGCAAGGCATGTCCGTGGTTTCAGTGCTGATATTTCTCACTGTGGTCTAGAATATGAAACAAGTGTTTATAATCTCTGCTACAAACATCAAAAAGCAAAGAGTGTGCTGATTGAATTTTATGTGTGTGTGTGGGGGGGGATGTATGTGCAGATACTAAGCCATCTATTTAGATACTAATCCTTGAGTTGAGTCTCTCAGGGGAGTTCTTTACATTATTCTTTTTCATTTCCAAGGGCTAAGAGATAGTGAAATATTTTTCTCTTCTGCAGAGGGAACGTCCACCGCCTCCAGCAAAGCCACCACCCGATGAAGAGGAGGAAGACCGCATAGATAAGAAGTATTTTCCCTTGACAGCTTCTGAGGTAGAGGGTTGAGGGTTTATTGCCATCACTGAAATACAGTTTTTTGGAAAGTACATCGATGTGTGCTTAAAAGAAGACTTTGCTTTCTCATTTTCTTATCGCCTCTTTGGATTAGTAAGTTTTGTGTATATCAGTAATCTGGAAGAAGCCCTTTCCAACTCACTCAGAAGTACTAAGCAAAGAATTTTAATGGAGCTATCTAGCAGACAGGCCAATTAGTGATCTACATTGCACATTGAAAGTAAACCATGCACATTTCTCCTGGCTCCAGTAGCTAAACAGTTGACTTTTTTGCTTTTTTTTTGTACCTGTGTCCTCTTTTGATACAAAATGTAGAGTATGCCCCCAATCACTGTTCTATAGACTATGTCATATTAGTGAGCTTTGGTGTTTCTGCCCCAAGTGTCTTATTTCTGTTTTCACATTTTTCTTCTCCATTTCACATGAAGAATCCACCAGGACAAACTTCGAAAATGTCATGAAGACTCAATTAGAAGAGAAATAGAGGAGTCGTGGGGGTGGGAGAAATCAAAAAAGTTTATTTTAGAAGACTAGTCCATCTTTTTATTTATTTATTTATTTATTAAAGATTTTATTTATTTGAGAGAGAGAGTGAGAGAGAGAGAGAGAGCACAAAAGAGGGGAGTGGGAGAGGGAGAAGCAGACTCCCTGCTGAGCAGGGAACCCAATGCGGGACTTGATCCCGGGACTCCAGGATCATGACCTGAGCCAAAGGCAGTCGCTTAACCAACTGAGCCACCCAGGCGCCCTAGTCCATCTTTTTAAAGAAGGATTATTATGGGGCAAATCGTTCAATCTTCTTTCTTGGTTATATGAAGAAAATCATATTTTCCGTGATCTTTCATTTTCAGAATGCTCCTTTAATACTTCCTACCGTGCAGAGAATACGTTTATTCAGTATTTATTCAAAATACTACATAATTTCATTATTTTGTTGCTCATTCAGTGGCCTGTTGGTCTTTAATTTAAAAATCAGCTTATAATAAACTAGTCAGCTAAGTCTCATAACTTTATCTCTAGAAGTCAGAGCTAATTTTTTTACTCTATTGCCACAGACCATCCAGTGAGACAGGTTCTTTTACTTAGTATAAACACATGGAACCAGAAGGATGGCTTTCATTTAAGAAAATGTATAAATACAAGGATGCAGTTTTAAGAATGTAAAAGTCAGTGTTGAAAATAGGGGAAGATATTTGTGTTAGGTACAAATTCTGTCCCTATTTCTTTGTATGCCTTAATTACAAAATGCCTATTATCATGTTTCAACTAAAGGGTCTCCAGAATTATAGCCTCTAAGGTGATAATACACTGCTAGCAGATAGAGGTGCATGTAGCCAACCCTGCATGTTTTTTTTTAATTTATTTAATTTATTTATTTATTTTTTTAAAGATTTTATTTATTTATTTGACAGAGAGAGACACAGCGAGAGAGGGAACACAAGCAGGGGGAGTGGGAGAGGGAGAAGCAGGCTTCCCGCCAAGCAGGGAGCCCGATGCGGGGCTCGATCCCAGGACCCCGGGATTATGACCTGAGCCGAAGGCAGACGCTTAACGACTGAGCCACCCAGGCGCCCCCCTGCATGTTTTTATACAGAGATTTGCTTCATTACTCCCTTTTTATAAGGAGAAACCTGGTAACATGGAGCATATTCACCTGGGGCTAGGTCTCTATAAATGCCTTATGCCACCTCTTTAACAAGGACTTGGATTAAAATTCCTAATGCCCAAGGATAAGTGCAAGGCTCTTAAAGAAATATTAGATAATGAGGACTTTCTATTCTTCCAAGGCTTTTCAGAGAATATGATTTGTCAATAACACCGTTAAGAGAGGGGCACCTGGCTGGGTAGTTTAGTTAGTGTCTGTTAGGTAGGTTGGTTAAGTGTCTGTCTTCGGCTCAGGTCATGATCTCTGGTCCTGGGATCTGGCCCCACGTTGTTGGGCTTCCTGCTCAATGGGAAGTCTGCTTCTCCCTCTGCCCCTTGCCTCGCGTGCGCATACGCGCGTGCGTTCTCTCTCTCTCAAATGAATAAAAAAATCTTAAAAAAAAAGAAAAAACAACAGTATCAAGAGATGGGGGAGAAATCTCCATATTACTCTCCTGGATGGGAGACTCCGAGATACTTTTTCTAGGACTTGTTTCTGAATAGTCTGGAATTCTGGGACAGTTGGGCCACTGTAGTCAGAAGACCATGAGAACCCCAGCCTTGCTTACTTAGTGATTATAAGTACATAAATACAGAGGTGATGTGGTCTATGTCATTATCCTTTTAATGATCAAGGCAGATTCTCTTTGCTGTAGTTTGAATGACTAGGTCTTTTCCAAAAGTGGACTTTTTTTTTTTCTTGGACTCTAGTCTTCCCTGTTTTGATTTCTTACACTCCCAAAGCTTTACTACCTTAACCCTCATATCCTAGGAAGCACTGGCTCATCACAATTTAGGCTTTTATATTTGGCAGGCCATCTGCTTCAGTGTTTGTGTCCTGTTCCCTAGGCTTGTCATTGTCAGATGACCCATACAAGCTTTTAAGGGAAGCTGAGTATAGCTGGCTCCAGGAGAGTTTATCAGATTAACAACCAGGTCATGAAACTGGCTTAAAGAAATTAAACACCTACATATGTGTGTGCACACACGCTATCGAGATGTTTTTGCCCTGCCAAATGGGCTGCCAGCTTCATCGGACTGACCAGGGTCTCCTCTGTGCTCAGATGTGTTACACATTCATGGGAAGGTGCAGCTGCCCTGGTATCTCTTCCCAGAAAACTGCCCACACCCCAACCGGGGTCATTCCGTTGATCACATTTAGGTGGTGACTGGTAGTAGCTTCTCTCTGCAGCAGAAGTGTTCCTTTCCATGTAACAGAGAATATGCTTTTTGGCTTTGATTTATTGTCAGCCCTAGAAGAAAGGGGCAGAAAAGATTAAGGAATAATCTAGTAAAGAGCAGAATCCTTTCTGTTGAAAATCAGTTATTGCCATATTCACTGTGACACAGGGCTTCTTGAGTGGGAGTTAGGAAGGCCCAAAGCAAAGCAGTCTATTGCTTTATTAGGAGATTTTAATCCCATAGCTGGCGGGAGCCAGAAAGGACTAAGAGGAAAAGATCACCTTAGAAGTTGTCTGGATGTGAGCAGGGGACTCTCAGTAGAGTCTGAAGGAGGGCAAGAGTTCCAAATTGGATGGAAAGTCCTATTTCCCAGAAAAAAAAATGAGGCCATCTTGGTCCAGAATCGGGAAGTGAATTTTATGGCCCTGGCTCTGCTGGTTGCTCTCTGTGTAACCTTGGGCAAGTCCCTAGCCCTGTCTGGGAACTCGGTTTGGGCATCTGCAAAGGGAAAGAACTGGAGCCAGGTGCTCTCTAGCTGTGATCGGAACGGTTCGGGTCCCTTCCAGCTCTAGCATTTGCTGGTGCTGTGCTTCTCGTTGTCGTGCACGAGAGCCAGGCACAGAGTGACCGAAGGTCCAGTGGGCCTGATTTTCCAGATGGAAGTCATCAGCTGCCCTGCTTGAGAAGAAAGGATATTATAGGCTGGGTATCCAGACTGTCAACTACCTTTCAGAGAAGCATGCCTGGGGCTATATGAGGGCCCTTGCTGTGTGCAGAACACTCGCGGAATCAGATTTCCAGGGCTCTGGCTAAGTGATAGCTATGGGTGTGTAAACCTACAGAACACAAATTCCTGTCTGTAAAGCCTGTGGTATTAAGTTGACACTGTACGAACTGCTTAATGGTCCCTCTTTGTTCCCTTAATTGTGTTCCTATGAAGAGGCAAAAGGAATAAGTAACACAGGCAAATGGCTCCTTGTAATGAAATAGCTTTTAGCTTCCAGGTGGCTTTCAGTAAAGTGGAGGTTCCTGCTGTGCTTAGCAGAATTTCGGAAAGAGACTGTCATTCTGCCTTTGGAGTGGCAGCCTTGTTACCAAACAGGAGCCGCAGCCTCTCATTTAGTCGGGGACTGCGAGCTAGAATACGTGTTGTCTCATTAGTTTGTAACACAGTGAGCTGTGTCTCCCAGAAGCAAAACCCTGATGGATCACAAACCTGATTTATGTCCAGTGAGCTGTGGGGCATGTCTGAAGGAGGAGATTTCTGCATGTACCAAAGAATCACATTTGTTAGGGTACCATTATTTGTTAGGTGGACTTGGGAATTCCTCTGAACCCCGCCTCTGTTGGTGATGTATCCCTTCTCCTAGCCAACTGCTCAAGAGGAGATTTCATGCTTTGGCTTGCTCTCCTAATAGCTGGTACATGATTATTCTTAATTTGCCTATGACACACATTGGATTCTTAGGACAGATGAGCCAGAATGATCGTCTAAATCAAGGATCTCCATTGTCTCTCTCAGTGTGACTGTGGCACTAATTATGGTGTTTCTGGCCTGGTTTGAGGAGGAAGCTTGGCCACCTCGGTACCATGACTAGCTGTGGCCACAAGGCCCTCAGCTGCCTAGACCTAGTTGGTGGGTGTGGAAGCCAGCTCTGGTCCAGGTATTCCATCAGAGACACTTGGCTGCCTGGATCAGGGATTTCTCCATCGACAGAGCTGCTTTTTTCCTCCACTGAAATTCATACTGCCTAGCCATTTGACTCCTTTCAGAACAGAGATTGGTGAAATTAATTTAAACTCGTATTACCATAAATGTAGTAGGAAGCTGGCTTTTGAGAGAAACTTCCCTGTAACCCCCAGGACCTGTGAAGAAAGGCTCACAAAAATAGAGAAGGACGCATAGAGTGCTTTGTTTCTGGTAAATGTCAGTCATTCGGGATCAGTCGGGAGTCATTTGATTCCCTCTTGAGAAGGTGGGAAGGCTTCCAGCCTTGGGGTAGTATGTGTGCATATTGGGGAAGAATTGTGGAGAAAGAAGGCCTTTGTGAGGCAGCCTGGCTGAAAACCGCTTGGGAAGCGACTACCCACTGAGAAGAGACCACGCAGAACACTCTGATGATGGGAGAGGCACGGGAAGGGAGGATCTTGGATTGTATTAATGGCTTTTTGAAGGATAAAATGAAGTAGGAAAAGGGGAGTGTTTTAATCAAAGGCCATTGAGATCTGAGGTACAGGTGCATATCCAGAAAAGCACGTGGTTCCACCTGACACTTGAGCTGTTTACCTTCTCTCCCCACCCCCCTTCCTCTCTAGTGAAAAAGGAGAATTTGTTCTGCATAACCTGTCCTGGTATTATCCACCCACATGAGAAGTTCTATGGTGTTTTCTCTCTTAGGTCTTGGCCATGAGACCCTGGATTCAGGGAAGTGCAGCCAGGGAAGAGGATGAGCATCCTTATGAGCTGTTGTTAACAGCAGAAACAAAGAAGCTGGGATCCATGGACGGGGATGGAAAACCAAAAGGTACACCCCTGCCCCCAACCCCCTCCCAGCAGAAACAACTGCAAAAGGATTTTTAGATTTTATTTTATTTTTTTTATTTATTTATTTGAGACAGAGAGAATGAGAGAGAGAGCATATGAGAGGGGGG